CCTCGGTCCTGGCTTCCTCGGTGTTCCCATATCGGGCACGAATTGTGTTTCTGCTGATGCAGTGTCTTCTGAGTTGTCTCCTGGTGGAGATTGCTGTGTGTTTCACAGGAAAGCAGATAAATGATACCAAGTCATTGAGCTTATAAGTAGCACCCTGGCAACCCGCCATCAAAATATAAATACATTAAATGTACTGAAGGAATGTTCATTCTGTTGTTTAGCCTTGGATATGCCCCAGTTAGGTAAATTTAATCTTCTTGAGGGTTGTTGCGTTACAGCTGAATGAGATAGGCCATTATCTTATTACTGATCTTTCTGTCATTCAGGATTCATGTTCTGGGCATTCATAGTGTGAAGTGTGCTTGCCCTAGAGCAGTCCTAGAAGTGTTTTCCAAGGGAGATGAAGGTGCATAGGGGATCTGTTAGCACCTTGCAAGTTTTGACCCTCTGTCTCAGAAATGTTCATGCTCATTGTCAGTGACACCACAACTGGTCCAACCTTCTGTTGGTAGAAATGTACAAAATGGTGCCTTTGCCTGTGTTTGCTAGGAAATGTCTGTAACTCAGTCTCCCAGCATTTATTTTCTTCCCAGGTATTTCTTCTGCAGTTCCCCCCAAAATCCCTGTCTGCAAAAAAACCTTCCAAAAACCTCTGCTGATGTTGAGGTTGGGAACAAAGCTCTTGATGACTCCAGGGTGAGCAGGGGCCAGTGTTAAGCAACAGACCCAAAGCCGATGGCTTGCATTAAGGAGGAATCTCTTCATTGTTTTCCACTGGTGCTGGGTCAGGCCCTCCAAATGCGATCCTACAGCATTAATGCTTGTGACCAATCCCACTGAAACCCAGGGAGCTGCTCCCACGTGTAAGCACTACCAAATCCAGTGTGCAGTGTCAACAAGCACTCTGCAACAGTTTAGCTCTTCTCTTGGTTGTACAGTGAAGGGAAGGGATGAGGCAGAAACACGGAGGGAAAGGGAACACATGAGCAGAGAAATTCTGAGCTGGTTGTGAAGAACAGTGATGTTCTGTACAGAATGCAAATCCTTTAAAAAATAAGATATCAGCTGTGTGTTCTACAGATAAGAAAATGTTATTTTATTGAATGGAGAGATCTATATGTTTCACCTATCACATCTGAACTAATCAGTGTAGGCTTTTAGAAGAAATCTGTAATTACTCTGAGCACGTCATTAGTTAGATGTAAAATGAGTGATATTGCTCCATTTTATTACCTCTAGTGATATAGCCATTTGTATCATAAATTCATTGACCTCATCTTAAATGATCAATTCTGTAAGATAGACTTGATTAATTAATTCTTAAGTGACATTTTTTTCTCCTCCAGTAATTTCCTCATTGTTGTAGAGACTGTTTTTCTGCCTTTTAGTACGGTATTCTGAGGCGTCATAATACCTGCATATTACCTACATATGAGTCCCACATTTTTATACCTTTTATCTTAACTAAGCAGCACAGACTGATTGCTTATATAAATAAAAAGAATGAGAGAAAAAACGAAATAAAATTCAGAAATACATGAATGTAGAAGATGGACATTTTTCACTGGTGTTGTAGCTTCAACACTGAGATATTGCATGAAATCAATGAGAAAATTATTGAATATTTGGTCTGTGCAGTGTATTCAGAGGAACAGATTTGCTGCCTTTAATTTCCCTGGCTTTAATTAATTTTATCTAGTGATAAAATATACAGAAGGGTCTGTGATCAATATGTGAGTGAGGCAGGTGTACTTCAGAGTTTCTTGTTCCTCAGTGAATTATTGAAAACTGGAGAAATCAGTAGAGAATTTGTAAGCAGGATTTCTAAATATTTTACCAAGGAAGAGAAAATATTTGTTTAGCCAGGAGAGACACAGGAGCCCACAGGAGATAAACAAATCAATACAGCAATAATACAGTGATATGTTTCAGTGAATTTTGCAAATGCTAACTAATAAAATTAAATTATTAGAAAAGATGCCACAATTTTTTGTGGGGCTGTATTTCTCTTTCAGTCCCTTTAATTAAGGTCACGGATGGGGCTCTTCCTAGAAAGATAAGGAGACTGGATTTACTCTCTTGTATTTCTTAGGTGCTTCTTTGGCAGCAGGCTTACGAGGTGGTTTACTACCTTGTCCCAAAGGAAAGGCAAGTCTTCACTGCAGCTGCACCTGAAGTCCTGCTCCATCCCTTACTGCAGACACCTCTGAGGCCACTCTCCTCCTTGTCCTTCCACTGCAAATGGTGATGGGCCAGGGAGGGCTTCATCCTGCCCCAGCCCCCCAGGAGCTGTCTGGGAGCTCCTAGTTATAGCTCCTGGGGTACATGTGGAGACCCTCTGCATCTTTGCCAGCCCTCAGGGCAATAGCATACTCTGCAAGCAGCAGGAGGAATGTGGTGGAGTATGTCCTGATTCCATACATGCAAAATAGATAGTATTTTGTAGCTACAGCAGTGACTTCTCACTCAGAAATGATTTAAGGTAAATTCAGAAGCTCCACTGAGTTAAATAGTATCCTGTTACCTCGTGGTGTAGACTCACAAATTCCCCTTTTGTCTGCTTTGAAAACAGTGGCAAGCCAGAAAATTTCAGGAGAGTGATTATAGGATGGTTCCATCATGTGTGGTGACTTGCCAGGTGGGTGGCAAACCCCACACCCATGCCAAATGTGCGGGATGGTTTGGTGCCCACTGCTGTGTGTTTGCACTACTTGCAGCACAAGCTCCAGGGCTTTCTGTGATGGTCACTGAGCCTTCCTGTGGGGAGCAGACGGAGAGCTGATACCTGATAAAATCCAGGAGCTGCTGGAAGTGGGATTGCCCCCTCTCCCCTGCTTGCTGCACTCCTGCTTTCCCATCTGCCCCATGCTTGGGGGGATGCATGCACCATGGCATTGCAGGCATTTATCTCAGCAGTTCTGTGTGTTTGACAGCCTTTTTGTCCACTTATTTTAGGGTGTGACACCGTCACTGCGTGTTCACTGCAGGGCTGGACTTATTTGTGCCGGGAAATTTCCTTTCTTGCAGTGGGGCAACCATGTGGAAATACACCCCTGCTGATGCCACATGTGCCAAGCAGCACCAGCTCCCCCTCTGCTTTACCTCACAGGGCACAGTGTCTGTATGCCCAAGCTAAAAATCTGGATCCTGCATTCCCAAACTTCAGGGTTGACTTAGGAGCTGCTACTTCTCAATTGATTATTTAGCTTGATTTAAATGTTGGGATAAAAGAGAGGGAGTGTGTGTGTGTGTGCGTGTGTGTGTGTGTGTGCGCGCGTGTGTGTGTGTGAATGGGGAAGGGAGCAGGAGGGAAACAAACAGAAACCTGATGGGACAGCTAAAAGGTCAAGGAGCTAAATGAGCTAATAACCATAGCTTATAGTGTCTGTGCGTGTGTCTATATACATTAAAGATATATTACTGAAAACTCAAGAATGTCGCCACTGTTTATATTAAAGGAAAGCTGAGAGTTAAATGAGATGGGTAATCAGATGCCCAGCATATGTTGTTTTGAATTGTTTATATGGCCAATAGTTATTAAAATTAATTATCCTTTTAATGCAGTCTTTTCACAATCATAGTCTTCTTTGGGGTTTTTAGTGTATTTTTTTCCTTTGTACAAAAGATGGAGTAATTTCAAAGCAAGCTAATATGGGCTATTTGGAAAAGGCAGAACAAACAATACCAGGATATATTATGACATGGTCATAGGCTCAACATGCTGATAGAAAGCACCAAAATTCCCTGTCAGTGGAGTATTTTGAGAACTAATGTAAATGACAAAAATGGGGGGGGTTTGTGTGTGTAAAATTCTGTCAAAAAAGTGAGGCACTGAAAAATCTGACATCTGTTTATCTGTTTATAGCTATGGCAAGATTACTCATATTAATTCTTGTTTAAAATGCCATATGAAGGAAAGGCATTTGTGCAAACAAGAGTCATATTTGAATTGTAGATCATGTCTTCACCATCTGTGAGAGCTGTTGGTGTTGCAAAATTAATGTGTTAATGAAATCACAATAATTTCTCTGAAGTAATGGATTCTGAAGCCTAGAATGACTATTTTTTGAACTTTGGTGTCTAGTGGTTTACAACTGGGAAAACCTTTCACAACTTAATTAGTTCTGCAGCCTTATTTTTAAAAAAAATTGGCTGTGCCTTCACCACACCAATAGCAACATAAAAAAAGATTAAATGGAAAGCAGAGAAACAAAACAAAATTGAGCCTGCAATGCAAACTTTTTGCTGTAGTATTTGAGAAGTTGCTAAACAGGTCCTTGCTTGCCAAGAAGTTTTACTCAAAGTGACTCGTACACAAGAGTGGGCAAACATCTCAGAAAATAATTCCAGCTTGCTGAAACATCACAAATTGGGACTATTTGAACCTTACACAAATATCCTGACTTTTTCCAAGTTTCTCCTTGGAACGAAGGGCAAAGAATCAATGATGCTTTTTGCTTTGTGATGCCATTTTGAAATATCATACTCTTTCCAACTTATTATTTGATACCCTTAGTAGACTACTAAATGTTCCCGTGTACTGCAGTTTAGCAGAAAATGGTTTACATTAATTTCCAGCAATTTTCTGAGTCCTTTTCCAGCTCTCACACTCCTCCTGTAGTATGGCATCTCAGATGGCACAGGCATGCTTAGATTACCACCAAGGAGTAATCACAGCTATACTCATATGGACTTTGCATACTTACATATGTGTGTTATAACAGTATATGCCAGCTGAGGATTCTTCTCTGTGCTATGGGTTTATGATATATAATGCATCATATAAGGTAGGACTGAGACTGAGCCAGAAAAGGGAGTGGCATTCAATTCATTAATATTTTGGAGAAAAAAAAAAAAGGTGCGGTTTTCACAAATATAACTTCTTTTTTTTCCTGTTAGAAAAATAATGTATTTAGCAACTGAAAAAAATACTTTAAAAATAACACTATGAAGAGAAGATTGCTTTTCTTACCTGATTTGATTTTATTACTGTGTTGTAGGTATGTGACTGGTGTAAGCACATAAGACACACAAAAGAGTATCTGGATTTTGGGGACGGGGAAAGAAGGCTTCAGTTCTGCAGTGCAAAATGTCTCAATCAGTACAAAATGGACATTTTCTACAAAGAGACACAGGCCAATCTTCCAGCTGGACTGTGCAGTACATTACATCCTCCAGTCGAAAATAAAGCAGAAGGCACTGGGGTGCAGCTGCTTACTCCAGATTCTTGGAATATACCGCTAGCAGATGCTCGGAGAAAAGCCCCATCCCCAGCGTCTGCAGCTGGCCAAATTCAAGGCCCTGGACCATCAGCATCTACCACTGCCTCTCCGTCTGACACTGCCAACTGCTCTGTCACTAAAATCCCCACGCCAGTTCCCAAACCTATTCCCATCAGTGAGAATCCAAATATTCCACCAGTTTCTGTCCAGCCACCTGCTAGCATTGTGCCTCCAATTGGTGTCCCACCTCGCAGTCCTCCCATGGTGATGACAAACCGTGGGCCAGTTCCTCTGCCCATATTCATGGAACAGCAAATTATGCAGCAAATCCGTCCACCATTTATTCGTGGGCCACCTCACCATGCCTCGAATCCTAACAGCCCTCTGTCAAATCCAATGATTCCTGGAATTGGTCCCCCACCAGGTGGTCCCAGAAATATGGGTCCCACCTCTAGCCCCATGCACAGGCCGATGCTGTCCCCCCATATCCATCCCCCCACAACACCTACCATGCCTGGGAATCCTCCTGGCTTGTTGCCGCCGCCCCCTCCCGGAGCTCCTTTGCCCAGTCTTCCCTTCCCCCCTGTCAGCATGATGCCAAATGGTCCTATGCCTATGCCACAGATGATGAACTTTGGATTGCCATCCCTTGCCCCACTGGTGCCACCCCCAACTCTACTAGTGCCATATCCTGTCATTGTCCCTTTGCCCGTTCCCATCCCCATCCCCATCCCCATCCCTCACATCAACGACTCCAAACCCCCCAACGGCTTCTCCAGCAACGGCGAAAGCTTCATTCCGAGTACCTCCAGCGAGACGCCTGGGGCAAAGCCAACCAATAGCTCTTCGTCCCCTCGAGAGTCAAAGCAAGGATCATCCAAATCCTCTGACTCATCACCGAGCTGCTCAGGCCAGTCCCTTAATCAAGCTAAAGTGCTTCAGGAGCACAGTAAAAATGAAGTTGTTGATTTGACTGTCAGACCTAGTAGTCCAGTGAACAGTAAATTTGGTTTTCCCAGTGTGCTACAGGGTCCACAGGACGGTGTGATAGACCTAACAGTAGGCCACCGGTCTAGGCTGCACAATGTCATCCACAGGGCTCTACACGCCCAAGTGAAAGTTGAACGTGAACCTAACAGTGTTGTAAATTTGGCTTTTGGTAGCTCAGACAAAAGGAACTGCAGCGACTGCAGGGACAGCTGCAGCCCAGTTGACTCAAAAACGTTACCGTGCAGTGACGGAGCTCACTGCTGTCCCGTCTCCTTGGCCTCTGGCACGCCAGGACTGGAAGCTGGCGCAGCGGTGTGCAACGTCATTGTGAATGGCACAAAGAGCACGGAGGGTTCCAAGAACCCGGAGCCGCCCCAGGAGCCGAAAAAGCCCCAGCCCCCGGAGGAGCTGACGGTGAGCGAGCTGGAGTCCGTTAAGGAGAACAACTGTGCGTCAAACTGCCACCTTGAGGGAGATGCTGGCAAGAAGACTGGGGAAGAGCCCCTGGCTGCGGGAGACAAACAGGACCCGAACCTTAACAATCCAGCAGACGAGGACCATGCATATGCTTTGAGGATGCTGCCCAAGACAGGTTGTGTGATCCAGCCTGTGCCAAAACCAGCAGAAAAGACTGCTATTGCACCGTGCATTATCTCAACGCCAATACTCAGCACAGGGCCAGAGGATCTGGAGCCACCATTGAAAAGGAGGTGTCTCCGAATTCGAAATCAGAATAAGTAAAGGTTTGTGTAATCGCTACTGCCTTCTGTGTGAATAGAATTCAGTATTTTCAGGTATGAGGTCAAACTCATGTGGATGTGGCCTTTATGAAACAAAAAGATACAAATTCCAGTTTATGAGCACTTTCAGAAAACTATTGGTTTTTGTGTTTTAGTATTGTTTTTTGTGTTGTACTGCATCTGTACTTGTCAGTACTCCATTCATCAGCAGCCTCATTACACTTTTGCTCACAGAACATATCATGATGGTTCTGGCTGTGAAGTGATTGTGCTGTATATGTCAAAGTCAGTGGTTTTCTGACTAGAATATGGTACAGGTCTGGGCCATTAATCTGCTTACTTATTCCAGCTGAGTTACACAGCATCTCAAGCCTTCACAATGACTGAAATTGACCTGCAGCATAGCATAGAGCCAGATGACCCAGCAGCTTCCTGCTAGCTCAGATCCAATGGACTTGGCAAATGGTCACCTCCAGCCATCTTACTTCGGTCTGCCTCCAGACTGCACCTTGGCTTTCCACTGAGCTGCTCTCTAGAGACTGAACTCCTCTCCATGAGCTTTCCTTTCCTGTGTATTTGTGCTTAGAGACTGCCTGCTGTTTGGGACCTGCCCACTACAGCTTATTGCAGCAAAACCTCTGCCATGGGGCTTTACTGATTTACCTGAGGTATCTGCCTTTGGTGGAAGTCTCCCACCTTAGAAACGCAGCTGAGGTTTGCCTCAGCCCTGTGCTTGGTACATGTTTGTGGCTCCTGGTAGGGCTGCAAAGCCAGGCAGAGATATGGGTAACTCCACAAACCCCCATGGCATGTCCAAGGACAATGATCCAGATGCATAAACCTCTCATCCTTCATTTCCAAATGGAAATTGGAAAGCCTTCTGAATCCCTCTTATAGCATAGCATCTTTGTAAAACTCTTAGTTTAGTATGTGTGTGATGCTTCAAAACCGTGAGTGAGAAACTGTGTAACGACTCTTTCCTGTCTGACCATCCAAGAACGGCTCTGGCAGTCACTCTCATACCACCTGAGCTGGGACAGAAGCCCCTCCACAGCTACACACCCCACACTCACACAATCAGACCAGGTCTCCTCACTGGCTCAACCCCAGGTTCTCCATAGCAGAGTTCTCATATATCCCAATCCTTAAAATAATTTCATCATGGTGCAGTAAATAAATAACAAAACAACAGCTTGAGCTGATGCTGTTGACAAGGGATCCAGAACAAAGGAACCCCTTGGCTTTTTTACCTTCTAAAGCCTCACAGTCTAAGCATAGAAAAGTCTGGGGGTGAGTGTCTGGTCACCCTGTGTCCTTTGTTATGGAAAGGATCGCTGCCCATTCCCATCCTCTTGCCTGGTGCTCGGGCTTGGGCTCCTGCCCCCCCAGAGCTCAACCTGCAGCTGGCACTGCAGCTGCACACTGAGCTACCTGCACTGAATATATTCCTTAACAAAACTAATGTAATGGAATTTATTTAGATTCACAAGCACGGAGAGCTTCTTTCAGGAAAAGGGGAAATGGTGGGTGTTGCAAGAAATCTGTTCAGCAGTAAAATACTGATGGTTCACCGGATGTGGCTTGGTGACATGCCAGATTTCATTCCAATCCTTGGAATATTCTGTAGCCTCCAGTAAATCCCTGACTCTGGTAGCACAAATAGTGACTGCAGTGGTGTTTGGCACCTACAGCCACAGATAGCAGCAGCAGGCTGTGTAATCTGGGCCATTGCCGTATCTCCCTGCTTCATTAGTGTGGGTTAATTGCACCATCAAAGATATATAGTATAGTCAGGACTCCCTTCTCATTTGTTAACGCTGCATTCCCTGTGCTGGTTTCAGGGCTGGAAACATTACTTCCCTTGATCACCAACAGTATTTATTTACATTCTTCGGTGAAACACAACCATTATTCTTTGCTCTCAGCATGTGCTGACACATTTAAAAGATACACTAATAAGAATAGAGGACAACTATCGCATTCTTGGACTAGTAATCAGCATGTACAATAACTCAGAAGTCAAATGAGTATTTAAAATCTTTACACACTCGTAGGTCCTGTCAGCAGGCATCCCCCTACCCACCCCTGGGGTATGGAATCTATGTCCCTCAGCAGCGATATCTTTTTTGCAAACCCCAGTGTTAACTTTGGGGCTTGAAGGATTCCCTTCGTAAATGTATGCATGGTTCTATGTTGGGGTAGTGATCTGATCTAGTGAGAAGGTCGCTATTTGGCTGTATAATTTTTATCAAATTTTAGGAAAGCCATGGTTAACCCTTCCTTTCCCACGCTGTTGAATCTCCTCATAGCTGCTTATTTCAACACAGTGCTAGAAGACTTGGGCATTTATGTGCTTACTCTGTAGTCAAAGACAGGCTGGCGTCTATTTCTGCTTGCCTGGACCATCCGGGCTGCAACAATGCTGCCTCTTCAAGGTCCCAGTCCCAAGAGGAGTTTAGTGTCATTCAAAGCCAGAGCTTAAACCCTCAGAGAGAGAGTTCTGGCTTCACCAAGTTGTGTATTTTTGCCTGTTGAAGTGATTATTCATGACATCACTTCACGGATAGTATTTGAGAAAGTGGGCGAACCGAACAAGCTGCATTGGAAAGACAAGGATTCTTTATAATTCAGTTCCTGTCCTCAGCCCTTTGTATTCTCTAAATGTCAATAACTGCCATTGTGATTATCCTTAGGAATAGCCATTTTCCCTTTCATCCTGAGTTTTACATATTTCTTTGCCTCAGTGTAAGTGTTGTCTTATAGGAAAGTTTTCAGGTTTACAGGCAAGATTAATCTGACCCAATACAGACATCTGTAACAAAGATGAAGCTGAGCTAATTGTCTAAACTCTCTTTAAAATCAACCTAGAGAAGCAGGCACTTCAAAGAGACAGCTGAGCTCGTCCCAGAGTCAACAACTAAGACAGCTCAGATGAATTGTGCCCTAGGAGTGCTTATTTCTGCCTGCAGTGAGGGAAACTTAGGCTGACTGGCACAGAGAGAGATGTCCACACAGACACTGGAAGTTAAGAAACCCAGCCTAAGTGTCTGCCATACCTCTGAGGCTTGTGCAGTAGCATAGCACGGCATGGTGGTGGTGATTAGTCTGTGTTCATTCCTCCAGAAAAAGAAAACAAGTAGCCTCTGTGCAGAAGATATGGGAGACCAGGGTCCTTATGTGCTCCAAGGGAAAGAGGATACTCCAAATACTCTGCAGAAGTAAGCAGCATGGTAACCATCTCATTCCAGTGGGTGCCTCAGTGATATGTGGGTGCGTTTTGAGCGTCTCAAGGCACGCACAAGTGATTTGTGCAGCTCTGATGACAGATTTGAGGTGAGGACTCTGTGGTTTTGTGCAGAAGCTTTATTTTGCTATTTCAGCATTGCTGATCGTAGCCAGTCTGGGGGAGCAAAAGGGCTCTGCCTTAGATTTCTGCCCTAGTTGCCTGTGAGGACTGTGCAGGGCTCAGAGCCTGTCTGTGTCTATGCAGAGGGGGTAACAGGGAAGGAGAACATCCGTGTAGCCTCTTGCACCTTAGCCACGACCGCTGCCATGCCCATGGGTTAGTTCCACCTACCCAGGCTTTGGGAAGCAGGGAGATAAAACTTCTCCTGCAACCCAGTTGTGGGGAGAATACCTTAAGAGAGACTACAACCTCATAGAAATTCTAATAAATTACATGGAGGATAGAAGCTGCAATAACAAATGTGTTGATTTGGGCCCTTGGAGGTTTGTATTGATAGCACTGGCCACACTAACCTGGGAGAAAAAAAGTCTGGCCAGTTGTCTTTTTCTCTCTTGCTTCTCACCTACCCAAATTGGAAAATCTGAACATATTGCCCTAATGTGCGATTTTTCCTGGATTTTATTTCCCATCAAATTGTGTGACAAGAAGGAAATTAGCCAAATATTTTTATGCTAGAGTTCTGGACAGACAGATTGAATTAATGTAACAGCAACACGGACTCTCTAAAAAGGAATCAGTGCAAGCGTGACCTTTTCAGGCAAGTTGCCAGTCTCTGGATTATTTAATGTACCAATTACTTGATTATTGAAAGTGCTAATCAGCAACATAATCCTTGATGTTAAAGTTTAGTTTCTCCATCAGGACATGGACTGTCAAGCTGTTCTAGCTTGATGCAATTTGAAAAACTATCAAAAGATGTCTCGGTGCCAAAGTCCTGCTATGATAAAGGAATGGAGCTAGGAAGAATATTCTGTTGAGTGTTATATTTTCAAGTTTGAGCAATGTGAGTTTCTAAAATTAGCAGTGTTAGTGTTGCCTGCCTACATGCTTTATGCCCTGGCGGGATCAGTTTTAACCCACCAGCTTTGATGTCAACGTTTCCTAAATCAAAGAAATGAAAACACTGAGGTCTGCTTGGATTTAACATGATAGTTATGTTAAACTAAATGAGAAAATGAAATGTCACATGCTAAAATCACAACTAACTTCTGTGTGTGTGTGTGTGTGTTGAGTAATCCTGTGCTGGGGACAGAGGGGTCAGGAAAGGAAGGAGTTTTTCCACTTGTCACAGTAGAATTTCTTCCAGAAGTAATGGAAATAGTAGGTGTATGGCCACGTACAGTGCCAACCTGTTTGTCCCAGGGTCAGCATCTGCTGGGTGAAAGGCCTAAACCTTCAGCTGTCTAGTCCATGAATTGTGCTCATAAAAATATACAGCATGCAGAACACTCAGTTCAGTGCAGAAATAATAATATATCCCACTTTGAGCTCCTCAGACCATAATGGTCCAGCACAAGATTTCCTGTTCTGGATTCCTGAGGCAAGGGGCATAGCTATTAACCTCTTTTTTTTTTTTTTTTTTTGGTCTAAGAGATTTTATCTCTCCTCTGTCACTGTGGTATCTGTCTACCAACATCATTCTTACCTCGGCCCAGCTTGCTATGGTTAGGACCAATTTTGACCTTAAAGATATACTTGAAAACAGTTTTTCTATATTTGAACACATTTCTATGCTAGTCATCTTTGTTAACATGGT